GTCAGGGCAGGTCATGAGCAGGGCCTGGTGATCCAACCTGGCTAATCTCTGGGAGGAGGCACGAGGCAGATACCTGGGTTTGGAGAGCATTAGGTTTATCCCAGTCTCCTAACACACTACACTAAGCTATGGAGGTCTGCAGTGGGCAGGAGCCAAGTGGCCTGGGTTGGGACACAGCTCATGCCCCTTCACCCCCTGTTGTAAGGAGTCCTCCTGCCAGGGAGCTTTTTCAGAGGGTGCTGGACCCCCTGTGGCCACATTCTAGACCAGTTCTCCAGCCTCAGTGGCCTGGTTGCAGGGCCCTCACTTAGGGAGAGGAGCCATGCCCCCCGCTTTCCCCATTCCTCCAGATTTGTTACTATTTTGCACTCTTTAACACCTGTCAAAATTGACTGAAAAAAAAGTTATGGAAAAATAGAGCTGGGTATTGCAGATCAGGAGTGCATATGTGGAGTGGGGGGATGGGGAGCTGAAATCATAAGTAGGGTGATGGGTCTTAGATATTCGGACAAAGTCTTGAAGGAGGTGAGGATCCATGCAAATCATGGGAAAGAGCATTCCAGGCCGAGTGGACGGCCAGGACACAGCAACAGACAAGAACATCTATGAAGAACAATAAGGAGGCCAACATGGCTGGAGCAGAGAAAGTGAGAGGAAGAGTCACAGATGAGAGGACCTGTTCATGTAGCGCCTGGACAGGACTTAAGATGAGAGGACCTGTTCATGTAGCGCCTGGACAGGACTTAATGAAGACTGTGATTCTTCTGAGCAATGCTGCAGCATTTGGGGCAAAGATGTAGTTTGACTTAAGGTTTAACAGGATTACTCTGACCACTGTGTTCTGAATAAACTGTAGGGACTAAAGACAGAAGCAGAGAGCCCAAGTTGATAGCAGTGGAGGTAAAGAGATTGAGTCATAGTCTGGATATATTTAAAAAGTAGAACCATAAAGATTTTGCTGAATGTGGGAGAAAGTGGGGAGTCAAGAATACTATCAAGTTTTTAATGCTGATTGGGAGAGGAAGGCTTTTGTGGGGGAAAGAAGGCAATTAGAATTTGGGATTGAACAGTAAAGTTTGAGATGTCTGTCACACGTTTAAGTGGAGATGTTGAGTAAGCAGTTGGGATATATAAGTCTGGAACTTAGGGAAGAGGTCTAGGCTTGAGATATAAATTTAGGAGTTATCCGTATATAATAGAAAAAAGCAACAAGATTGCACGAAGTCATCAAGGAAATGCATTTAAATAAGAAAATGAAGACCAAGGACTCTACTGCAGGACACTGTGACATTAAGAGTTCATGGGCAAAAGAAATATCCAGCAATGGACACTGGGAGTAAAGTGGAGAAAACTCAAGATGTTCTAATTTCTAGAAGTAAAATGAAGAGTTTTAAGGAGGTAGGAGTGAGCTATTGTTTCAAATGTTGCAGAAAGGTCAAGGAGACTAAGGACTAAGAATTGACCATAGGATTTAGCAGAGTGATCATCAATGGTCTTAACCAAAGCAGTTTTGATGGAGGGGCGTTGAGAAAAGGTTGATTTGAAAAAGTTTAAGAAGGGAGGCATTGGTGACCCCAAGTATAGATAATACTTTGGGGACATTTTGCCATTAAGGGGAGAACAGATATGGGGTAGTAAAGTTGTAGGGGAAAGTGAAGTCCAGAGAAGCTTTTCATTTATTTTTAAGATGGAAGACATGGTGATGGAAATGATTCTGTATATAGGGAAAAACTGATGATATGGGGGAGCGAGGGAGAAATTACCACTGTTCTATCTTTGAGCATGTAAGAGGTGATTAGATAAAGCTTTAAATAAGAACATAGACAATATATCTATAATACCAGGGGAAAAGAGAGAGAATAGATGGTAGGTGGGTAGGTGCATGCGAGAGTTTGTGGAAGTTTTCATCTAACAGCTTCAATTATTTCCATGAAGCAGGAAGCCAAATCTACTATCAGTACTTAGGCTTGAAACCATTCTGTAACAACTATGTTGGCCACCTCCTCTTTAGCACTCACTCTTAGCTTCTGCGACATAAAAGTTCCTGACATCCCTCACCTCCTTCTAATTCCTAAGATGAATGTTATCTTCCTACCCCTTAAATGGTGACACCCAAGATCTTGTCCTCAACTTTCTTTTCTCTATACATCACTCATTCCTTTATAATTGTGGTAGACATTACTAGTGTCCACTCTATCTGGTTCTCATCTTTTCTGGGCACCTGAAACTGTACTTCCCCTTTTAGTAGGCAAGGATATGTGACTACTTCTAGCCAATGGGCTGTGAGCAGGAGTGATGAGTGTCACTCCCAGCCAGAAGCATTTAATTAACAGGACATAACCCTCTACTTGATCTATTCCCCTTGCAGTCATGATTAAGATCTCATGTTCCAGATGGTACAGCTACAGGATGATGGAGACGATGAGAACCTGGAAGGCTGAGTTGCCATGTGAAAGACAGTGCTCTAGAGAGTCGCCTAACATAGGAAATTATGGCATAAGAAAAATTCCCTTGTGTTAAGGCACTGAGATTCTGGGGTTATCCCACCATAACTGGCCTGAGTGGTACACTGATCTAATTGAGAGTTTCTCAAAATTTTGAGCCTTAGGACTCCTTTTACTCTTAAAAAATATTGAGGACCCTAAAGACCTTTTGTTTATGAGGGTCATATCTATATATTTACTGGTTTGGAAATTATTATTGAAAACTTGAAAGTATTTATTTAATTCATTTAAAAATAACAATAAACCCATTATACATTAACACAAATAATATATTTTATGAAAATTTATTTTTTTTCAATTTAGTGAGATGTGTGGCATTGTTTTACATTTTTGTTAATCTCTAATGTCTAGGAGACAGCGGGATTCTTATGTCTGCTCTTATATGCTGTTTTGCTTGAAGTATATGGAGAAAATTAGGACTTACACAGATATGTAGTTAGAAAAAGGAGTATTTGAATAGGCTTTTCAGATAATTATGGATATTATTTTTGACATGTCACAAAAATTAGACACATGGCAGCTTCTGAAAGGTTAATTGCAATGTGTAATCTGAAACCATGTTAATAAACTTTACAGACTCTGTTACATTAAGTTCCATTGACTTATCTTAGGCTTTGAATGGAGATTTTATACATGCCTAGGTTTGTAATATATGCCGGTCATTTGGAAATTGTTGGCTTGCTGAGTTTTGCAGATCTTCTAAATGTTGACACATTTCATTACATCACCAGCAATATCATCAGAACAGTTTTTAAAGTTTCAGGAAACTATTGAGCTCATAGTGACTGATATATAATAGATTTTTCAAAATTCTAGTTTTTGTTTCAAAGCTCAAATTTTACAATTACAACAAATACTGCTGGTTGTGTTCCTCAAAAAACATAGGCTCACTTAGTTCACTTTTGAGAAAATGTCTGATACTCAAGTTTGAATAACTACACTATGTCTGTCAGTCGTTCTTTCAAGTAAAATTGTGTTCCATGAAAAACATCTACCAGTTCAGCTTGAAACTCAATCACACAAAGGCTTTTCCACAAGATACTGTATTTCAAAATGCAGCAAGAGGGGAGTAGAGATCCAAGATGGCAGAATAAACGAACACTGCTGGAGTCGTTCTCTGAACACATTAAAATTACAACTACATTATAAAACAGTAAACCTGTAGAACCACCTGAAGTCTAGCTGAACAGCGGTCCTATGACTAATAATATAAAGAAGCCACATCGATACTGGCAGGAGGGGCAGAGACGTGGAACAGACCCCAAACCTCCATGTGGCAGTTGAGAATCAGGAGGGATATCTTGGCCACAGAGGTTCCCCCCAGAGAAGCAAGGGTCCTTAGCCCAGAGTACTGGTGCTGGGAAGAGGAGCCCCACATCATTTAGCTGTGTGAAACAGTGGGGATTCCGACTGTCCCAGATGGAAGGAACCCAGACATCCTCTTAAATGGTCCATGCACAGACTCTCTCCCAGGCACTCACCTTGGGTTCCAGCAGAGGGACAGTAACTCAGGGGGTGTCGGAGACATATGGTGTGTGTGTGTGTGTGGGGGGTGGCAAACTGAGTTGTGTGGCTGCGGAAGGAGGCCTGGAAGACAGTCAGCATTTTCCCTGTGTGAGGCCCTTCTCCAGTGCAGCCGGCAGGCAGGCACCATCTTTCTGGTGTTGAGCCCCCTACACTTACAGCCAAATCTGAATCTGATTGGTCTGGTGGGCTTCAGGGATCCACCCTGCTGACTCATTGGGACCACGCCCCACCAAACTACCCCAGTGCGGGAGGCACTTTCTCCTTAAGCAGCCAGCCCCACCTGCATTGCACTCTTTCTTGGAAAACTATCAGTTTGGAAGGCCTCCATTGGCAGCAACTAGCCTCAGTGTGCTTTGAGACTTTTGCTGAGTAGCTCCAGGCTCAGCACTGGCACCAATCCAGAATTTACATTAACCTGCTAACCACAATTCTTCCCACTCTAGTGACTCCCCAACCCAGCCTCACCCAATTTGCACAAGGCTCTATCAGCAGCTGAACCTTAAGGGAACCGGTAGGTGGCAGCAGGCCTCAGAGTGTCCTGGCTTTTTGCAGAGCTACCCCAGTAATCTACTTTGTCTCTGAATTTGCCTAGTTTAGATATGTCATAGAAAAGAGTTCATATAATATGTAGCTTTTTGTGTCTGGCTTCTTTTACTTAGCATAATGTTTTCAAGGTTTACCCACATTGTAGCATGTTTCAATCCTTCAGTACTTGTTTATGGCCAAAAAATATTCCATTGTAGAGATATACTTTTTTTTAATCCATCTATCAGCTGATGGACATTTAGGTGTTTCTATGTTTTGACTGTTATGAATCATGCTTCTATGGACATTGTGTACAAGTTTTTTTATGTGGGCACATGTTTCCAGTTCCATTGGGATATATGAATATGTATAAGTCAACAAGGAATACTTTATGGATTAAGTCAGTGCAAAGATGACAATAAGTTCCAAGATTTTTTTGCACAGGTTTATTAAGCCCCCAAGACTAAAGGAACATGAGAAGAGGAAAATGAGTTCCCAAATAACAATAGAGGCAAAGTAAGAATAATAGGTAATAATAGTCTAGAGAAGTATTTATCTTATCCTGCCTCAGTTTAAGTAAATGTGAATATGCAATTACATGGAAAGGTATTGAAAAACACTAAGGAAGCAATTATAAATCTGTGTTGCTCTTTTAAGATATAATTTTTTTTGGTTCTCTTATAATAGAAAATATTAATGTTAACAGGGACACTTTTGGTTTAGTGATTTATTATTTCAATACTATACCTACTGCACTGTGTATATACATCCAACTATTATTAAAGATTCTAAATTATATTTTAAAAATTCTAAATCACCTAAAATCAACAGTATAACAAAGTCTAAAGTAGTTCAAGAACAGAGCTACAAAGATATACTTCATAAATGGAAGAATAAGGGGTTTCTTTTGAAATAAAAAGAATCTTGAACACTGGCAGACAACTTGTCACTTTCACGTGAGGACAAAAGAACTAAGGTCATTTGAGAAAATTATGGTTAAAAATCGTTTCTATATTCTTAATGTAAAGACAGCAGATTGAGAGATAATATAATCAGGCAGGACTTATGTTTGAAAAAGAAACTGTCAAATTCTCTGAGGTTTTCCACCTTTGAACGCAGACATAGAGTAAATTACAGATGTAGAGCACAAAATAACATTCCCTGCATATTGAGCATTTCTCTTCTACAGTCTTATTGAATCTATCTTCAGTATCCATTTGGTACTAAATTCCCAAAGCTTCAAAGAACAAAAGCAGTAAATGAAATTGTCAAGTTTGCATCTAGGGTACTAGAAAAATAACAGCTATTATATGATGGCTGTCATTTTTTAAATCCCGGTTCTGTTGAAGAACTACTTCAATAGCAATGAAAAGAGGCATATAGTATTCTATAAATACAGACTCTTTGGAAAAAAGAAAAAAAAAGACCAAAGTTGTGTGCAACCTATGGCTTTTTACTTTTTATAACCAATACACAATTTTTTTCCATAAAGAAAGAGCACATGTGAGCCATATATTATTGCAGAAAATAGTTACTTTTTTCTTTTCATAAACTTTTTTGCTTCTTTCAAAAGCTCGTCCATATCTTCCTTCTCTTGGTCCTCCTTTCCTGGTTCCCAGTCAGAATCTTCATCTGTTGGCTCATATTCTTCCTCCTCATCATCTACAAAGCTGTCGTTCATGTCATACTTACCGGGTTCCGCGACATTATCATTGTCTTCATCTAAAGTGCTTCTCTCTAAAAAACAGAAGTTTGGTACACAATACATCAATTGCCACCCAACCTGGGATTAGATGTCTAATTGTAAAATGTCTTTCTCCATCAAGAAGAATTAATTTCACTTAATACATAGCTAACCACTATAAATTTCTAGAAAGGAGACTAAAATGACCATTTGTTATTTATTATTCTAACATTTCCTACCATGATGCTCCTGAGATTAAAATGTCAACATGAGATTCATAATAATGGTTCCTTCATAATATCATAATCATATTCAGGCTCCCCTACCTTCTGGGATGGTAGAACGTATTTTTGTCCCAGTTATTCACTGCCCCTCCTTGTGATATGATTATATTTCCCTACCCCGACTGACACCAGTCTTGGCCAAAAAAAGTGTGTGGAAGTGGTGTGTGCCCCTTCCGGGGAGAAGCTTTCGGAGCCTTTCTGTGGTTCTGCTATTGTTATTTCCCCTCTGCTGTGAGAACAGTGTGTCCTAGATGTGGGCTGATCCTTCAGCCTGAATTCCAAGATGAGAATACACATGGGACAAGACCACAGCCTACACATAGCTGTAATATGGAGAAATACACCTCGTTTCTGTTGTAAGGCACCGGATTTTGGGGATGGTTTGTTATCACAGCAAATCTAGTACAATCTGATTGACACACTAGGGTTGTGATCAAATGAGAAGATACAAATTTACATACTCTGGAAAGTTTAGTTTATAAATCTATTTAGTCTACAGTTCATGTTTCAATAGCAGTAGGATTACTATGGCAACAGCCATTAGAACTTATAGATTTCTAATTAATACTATCATACAAAAATTCTTCTTTTACTAGTGTTTCTGGAATGACACACCAACACACACACACACACACACACACACACACAAACACACACCCTTGCCATCTGTTCTCTTACACAGCTCCATTTTTCTTCTTAGCCTTCATCACTACATGACATAACTATTTACATGTGCACTGTCCACCTTTGTAAAATTCTACAAGAGTAGAGCTTTGTGTCTGTTGTCTCCTCAGCTCCTGAAACAGCACCAAACATGTAGAAGGCACTTTATATATATATAGTTGAATATATATGAATACATGAACAAATGAACCATTTGCAAATCAGCTGATGAGCAGCTTTAGTTATACAGAAACCCTTCTTATTATAACCTACACTTTTAATCACTAGTCAGACAATATAATGAATTACATTAAAAACTTTTATTGAAATATTGTTAAATTGAAAGGGCTTTAAGTCTCAATGAACCCTGGAAATCTTTATAGCAATTTATTGGGCAGACTCATTTGTTGAAGCAAAAAGGCCATATTAATCAGAATACCATTTCTTTCCCCCTCAAAAAATTGTTTATATCTATCAAATCACCATTTACATTTGATGTTTACATGTACACATTCATGTCCTTTTAATAGGAGGTTCAGGATCTAACAAAACCATCCATAATAGAACTTGATATAGCTTAATAGTCCAATTCCATCCAGTTTATTTCACATGAACAGGTAATTTAACTGTGCTTTAAGTAAAAACACTTGAAGAGCCAAAGTCATGACAAGGTCAAAGTCAGCTCTAGAATTCAGCTCTACGTCCTTTGTGGTACAATATTGACATTTCTTAACAGGGTTTTAAATGCTGATGTATGATTACCTTTGTGGAATCAATTAATTAATGGACACTCTTGTAGCAAATTCAATTTAGTGACTTTAAGTATTCCACAATACAAATGCCATCTAGATGGGAGTTTACTTTTTTTTAATTGCTGAAGGTATTTTTCGACAAATGACAGTTTCTGCCTTTCAGTGTAACTGGGCCATAGTGATAATGAAACTTTACTTACTTGGAAAATGCTCTGAATCAGTGTACTTGTTGATCTAAATGAAATTATTACATGATTTCCTGAATCATGGGGCAATCTCTGGAAGGAGGGTTCTGAAATAAATACGACTAGCACCTAACCTAGGAATAAAATGCCCGTCTTTACCATAACAATCAATATGTTTTTATGCAACGGGGATACTAAGAACACTGGAAGTAAGAAAACAACCCCATGTAGGTATTCTCTAACTGGGAGAGCTGAAGCATATAGCACAGCATCTGAATATCTGGATTCCAAGTGATGAAACCAGTGAAGTTCACATAAACCTTGCTATAACACTGTTTGCGACACAAAAATCTCAGAGAAAGTGCCTCATACAAGGAAGCCTGTTGGTTAGAGTGCCAGGCAACTCAGTCATAGGGAGTCGCATCACAGAAGGTCCCAACCAAGACCCCAGTATTGTACAGAGAATGCCATGGTTCGTGGAAAGCTTAATGAAGCATGGTTATAATAAAAGGAGACATAGAAGTAGCTGCTTAATTTTTTAATCAAAAGTAAAAAATAATTTTTTTGTAGTTTTATTTTTTGTAGTTGTGACTTCCAATAGATTTCCACAAAATTAAACAACGTAATGCCATTAAAAAAAAAACCAAGAGCTTATATATAATATTTTCTTATATTACCACTAGCTTATTTGAAATATAATTTCAAATTATATTTGTGTGTCCACGAAATCAAAAGTGAGCTTGTTTTTTCCAAATCAAGATGAGCTTGGAAGAAATAATTTTTTTTCTCTCTCTTCACCTGGAATGCTTGTATGTTTCTTGCTGCTAGTTATTGCTGCTTTTTTGTGGTTGTCCATCCCTCTCACCCAACAAAAAGTCTTCAAAAACTGCATGGTTTAAGAGAAGAGGATAGACTCAGGGAGAGAAGTCCAAAGATCTGTGTCATAAATAACAAGCTCACGACAGTGAACAAGTCACTTAACTTAATGGAATTTTTCTTTTTAACTATGAATCAAAGGATCATGAAATGATTAAATGACCTCACAGATCCTTTCTGACACCAAAGTTCTAATTTTAAGGCCAAAGTAGGAATTTTCATTTTCTCTGCAAATCAGTGAAGTAATATGAAATGTGGGAACAGGTTGACAGCTTGACTGCTTGAAAGCAGCACGGGAGAAATAAGCTGTGAGTGATTTTTTTAAATTGATGGATAGCACTGGACAACCACGATAATGAAAAATAACAACCTTTAGAAAAAAGAGCAAAGTATTTAACATGTTTAAAACAACATGTTATTAACTATTTGGTGTTAGGATGTGGTAATTTCTGACATTTTTATTTATGCAAAGGAATCTGAAATATCAGAATGACAATTCTGAAATTTGTATCTAACATTTCCTTTACAATGTAAAATTTCACTGCGAATTCATATCCCAAGAACCAAGTCTGCAGAACTACTTAAGTGTCACATGCATGTTGAAAGAAATGCTGATTTTTACATGGAGAAAAGATCTTTCTAAATTGCTGGGTTTTCCAAAGAGTTTTCTGATGTTAGGATCTAAGATAGCAGAGGCCTAATAGCAGACTTATAGCTTAACATCAATAATCCCTCTGGTTTTATTTTCCTTTCTTTTCTAGTAAATCTTAGGACTAATTCGGGTGTTAATTTTCATTATGTAAGAAAGAAATTTAGCCCAATATCTCTAAAGATGAAAATTTACTGCAAGAATAAACAGTTTTTAAATGCTTTATTTTACTACTAAATACTCATCCTTCTAATGTATCAAGCTACTAGTTGGATATTCATATTTTACCTTTGGAAAAGCAGTTTGTGTAATTCATATCTACTGTATTATACATGAAGTTTATTTCTTTTCAAAAATACCATTGACTAGCCTGTTTCATGTTCTAAAATCTCTGTTTTCCCCACACTAAGCAGCAGTTTATAGAATTTCATTTATGTTCCACTAACCTTCCTTAATAGCTTTCTTTCTAGATCTTTTGGTTTCTACTTCTGTAGAAAAAAAAATGTGTATGTATATACATGGCTGTAAGAAAAGTCATGATGCATTTTTGCAATGAAAAACAGAGAAAAAATACGTCATGACTTTTCCAACAACCCAATATATAAGCACATGTGTGCATACTAGAGAAATATTAAAATAGCTATCAGTATAACATTCTAAATTTTCCAGTCATGAATGGTACTGATCCCTTAGAATATGCATACCACATTATAATAAAAGCTAGAAAGAATGACTCCAACAATCAGGATAAAATACTGGTGATAATTTCTTTTAAATGTTGTCAACAGGTAAGGTACAACTAAGAAAGTATAAAATAAAATTTTCCTGGCACTAATTATTCTTGTGTTCCATATCTTGTGCTAAAACCACAGCATTCAGAAAAAGTGTAGAAAATTGGTGAAATTTTAAACCAATTAGATATACAAAAAGTTTAACAGATTACAGCAATCAAATCTATAAGAGCACAACATACTACGTAAATTGTTACATATGTGGAAGAATCTTATAGACTGACAGGTTATAGGAGTGTTACAAATTAGAAATTAAAGAGTAAGAGTTTAGTGTAGTTACTTTATGCTATAAAATACTATAGTATGTGGTATATGGCATATGGTATTATATTAAATTGTACTGTCTCATGTAAATAGTTATGATACTCCACCACAAATTCAACATTTAAATTTAAAAAAAAACAAACAACCTACATAGTCCTTCCTCTGAACTCTATTACGTGTAAATGCCATCCCCAGTCTCCTGATAATTTGTACTACAATCCTGAGTCATCCTTATTTCCTGGACCTCATCCCAACCTCCACACCACAACCAATCAGTTAATAAAATCATTGATTCTTGCTTCGAAATTCACTTGCATCGAATCCTACCTTTCCACTCTCATGGTGGCCTAGCTCTGGCTCTTTATTCAACTACATAATTAATCTCCAGAAGGTTCCCCCCAGTCTAATTCAGACTGCTCATCATCGCCAGCATCATTTTGGTAAAATACTAGCTCACCATTACTGGCCAATGCACCCACACCTTTGGCCTAGCTTTTGAGAGCTCCTATAATCTGGACTCAGTACATCCTTTTAGTACCATCCACAGTCACTACAGAGACTCCATGTCAGTTAAACCCATCCACTTGCAGACTCCAAACCCAACTCACCATTTTCTACCTTGGTGTCCTTGACTGATCTATTATTCACTTAGTCTGGGATGTCCTATATCCCACCACCACAAGCTAAGAAACAAACAAAGGTGACTGAGGTCCTCCCACCTTAAAGACCAATTTAACTTAAAATTCCCATATAGAGTCTACCCTGATAACCCCCAGCAGGAAGTGCTCCTTCTCTTTCCTCCAGGGTTTTACAGCATCTCATCACCAACTTATAGAGCCAGAGCTGGTTCTCATGTCTCTCTGCAACTTTGCTCACATGTTAGACATATAATAAATAAATAATGAGTATGTGTGTGAATAAATAAACTATTACATAAATGAGATCAAGAGCTTGGGTAATGTTAAACTAAAGCTTTGGTAAATAAGAAATACAAATATGTTAGAATTCTGTGCCAGATATTGCAAAATTAAAAACTATAATGAGATCTCAACATTTAATATTTTAAATACTCTATATACCATAATTTATGGGTCTTAGATTAGGAAGAGATGTTCTGATTATATTGCCATATAACAACCTTTGAAAGTACATTAAAAAGATAAACTGTTACTTAAAAATATCTATACTTTTTAAAAAACTGTCTTTCCAATGAAATAAAAAGTTTTCGTAAAAAAGCTAATTGTTCTAAAAATATGTTCTTCAATCAGAAGATTCTTCAATGATAATTCAATGAAAATTCAGATATTTTTAACTATACTATATGATGCATATTGATAGTGTTTAGGAAAATGGTTCCCTTTTCTGTAAAAATATACAGATGTGTCAAATGCTTTCATGGAACAATGGTAAACTTTGTCAATAAAATATAGTTTTAATCAATATGATTACATTATTGCTGGAAAGGAAGTTAATTTAAGCACTGTATCTAATGCTACATCATTAACTGCAGCCCCAGTAAAGAAACTATAACATGTAACATAACCTCCATACCACATTAGCTCAGATAAAATGAGTACATTAGTGCCTAGAGTACTAAAGCACTGAAGTGTGTTTCAATCAGAACTATAAAATAGAACTCCCAATGGTGAAACTAATTAGTTTTATCACTTGGTTACAAGCTGGTTGTGTTTATATACATGCAAATGTATGTGGCACAGCCTGGATAGTATGCATTTTATTCTCTTACTCTGTGGGCAGAATACTGTGTGTTGACTTGGCCTCTGCATTATATAAATGATACAAAGAAGCCAGAATTTCTTAAAGCGGGAAAATATTAGAGTTTGTAAGCAAGGGAAACAGAAGATAAAACAGATAAATGTAAACAGAACTGATGGATATTTGACAGCTGTTTCTCTGGTGTCTATTTCCCCTCCTCCTTCCCCCAAAACTTCAGTGTCTACTGGGGATCCCTGTGGTTCTGAAGGTGACTCTACCCTGGTTCCAGGGGTGGTACAAACTAATCAGTGGCCATAGTGATTGGTTCAAGAGAAAGAATGTGATCTAAGCCAGGAAAAAAAGTGAATTTCATGATTTTCCCTAGGAATAGTGAGAGTCAAAGTTGTTCATGCTCTCTCTCTCTCCTTATACGTAAACATGTTGCTTATCATCCCAGCTGAATAAAGATGCATACAGCCCCTTGGTGGGGAGAGAAGCCAGTCTTAGGGTAATAATGGCCCCTCTAAAGATAGAATGATGGAAGGAAATTGGATCACTGGTGACATTATTGATGATATTAATGGGCCAAAATATAAACCTTGTCTAAATCCTGCTGTATTTGGGGACTTTTTAGTTCTAGAAATCAATAAGTTGTCTTTACCACTTATACCAACTTGAAATTTTGTTTTCATGTACCTACACAGAAAAGAATTGTAACAGGTACAAGGACAAATATATATTGTTAGACAATGATTGTAGATAACATTTGCTATATAAAATTTTACATTTTCTAATCTAAGAAAAACCATTAACATCAGAGTTCAACAAATTCACAGAAGAAGCTTTTTTGAAAAAAATTCACAATTACTGCAAACTGTATCAAGGTTTAACAGGAGATTCATTTGAAGGTTTTATTTTGAGTTTTCTGAAGTAAAATTACTTACCTGGAAGTGTACTATGTTTATATTCTATCTTGTGCTGAGGATTCTTCCTAAAAAAAAAAAAAAAAGAAAGAAAGAAAAGAAAGCAAGAATAAGATCTAGTTTTCCAATCCTAAAAATTAATAAGTCTTTTTAATTAAACTAGAAAATTCACTAACCTACACATAAAATTAGCCTCTTATTAGGGAGCATTTGCTTTTTTTTGTTACCTTTAGTAACCATGCTGTACAAAGCATTTGCTTTTTAATTTCAACATTTACTGATTGTCTACTCCATGCCAGGCATATTTCTAGATGTAAAGATAGAGTGGTGAACCAGACAAAGTTCTTCCCTCATGACTTACACTCTAGAGAAAAACAGTATGAGACAAATAAAATATATCATATCCTAAACTGAAATATTTTATTTCTAAAATGTGTCATATATTACATATATAAAATTACAATGTAAAATAGTATATCTAATGTATAACACAAAATATCAAATGTTTGTGTGTGTGTGTGTAATGTTTAAAAGGACACTTTTAAGCCTCTTCTTGATCCAAAGATAAAAGCATTTAAGTCCTGCCTCTTCAAATAACACCAATCTTATGGAACAGCAGGAAAGTCAGTTTGCATTGAGAAGTTTATATAACAAATTACAAAGCCAAACAGAAACTACTGTTTGAATATCTACTTTTGATTTTATGTACTTATGATCCCTTCTATTATTTTATTAAACAAACATTTGGGTACACCATATATACAAGACATTCTCCAGATAATGCAAAGCTGCCTAGGCAGCAAAAATCCAAAGCAATAACTGGTTGATCGTGGCCCACTTGATGGTACCCCTCCTTAGGGGATGACAAAGGAGAACAGGGGTACTGACAATAGACAGATACGAGGTGCGCCATTCACGTAAAGCTGTTGTGTGGAAGCATGAGTAACACAATAAGTCCTTAGTCTAAGGGCATGGAAGGTAGTAAGTAGTTAATGTTAGCCATTGATTCATTCATCAGTTGTTCAAGAAACAGTCACAGGGAACTTCTTACGTGCCAGGTCCTGTGTCAGGTATCAATGACAATTCTTATTGCCAATATCTCTTGTTTATTTGTAACTTTTTCTACAATATGAGCATTAAACACAGTACAAGAGTGCAAGCACACAGTTAATTAGGGTCATAACTCAACAGTTTTGAAAAGTAGAAAAAAAGATTCTACAAAAGATTATGTGTTTGGGGTAATTAACCCAAATTTGGCATTTTAATGGAAAAAAAAAACTTCGAAGTTGAGAGAAATAAACTGGACCACTTAAATGTGATGAAGAGAGGTGCAAATGAACAAAGCTGCAGCGATGATTTATGGGATAGTATTTCCTTAAAGAACTTGCTGGCACAAGTCAGTGGCTTGTTTAATTTAGTCTTTATTAAGTACAATCCATGCTGGACATCAGGGGAGGTGGAACAGAAAAATGAGAGACATTAATACCAAAGATATCCTTCATCAGTAATTTAGAAAAAGACTGCTGGTCACTTGAGATTGTTTTTGGTAACTTTTTAAAAATCCCTTTTTTATTGTGATAAAGTACACTGTTAACTTTTCATTTTGAGAACAATTTAAACCCACTGAAAAGTGGTACGATAGTACATTGAAATGCCATCTACCTTCCCTGAGATTCTTCAAGTGTTAACATTCTACACAGATGCCCTCATAATTATTATACATCTAAAGTAATTTGAGATTTAAAGGCTTTCTTACCTTCTTGTTAATGTATGTTTGCTTCAGGTACCAAGCAGTCCTATCTTTTCCTGCTTTGCCCTTAACAGAGCAGGATTATTGAAAAGTTAAATATGGTCTTAATTGTTTGATACTGGAATCTCTTTCAAAAGCTGCTTTAGAAACTCTCTAGTAACTAAATGTCAGGCTTTAAAAACAAGTACAGAAATGGAGCCATGGCACCTAACAGAGAAAAGTACAGTTTATATACACAGTAGCAGTTAAAAGACTGCTGACATCAGGTTAACTGTCAGGCTCAAAAGATTGAAAGGGAGAGTAAGTTTAAGTGAAGACAAGGTATCAGAAAATAGGCTGGCGACTGTGGACGTACTGGTTGAACCTTGAAGCTGCAGACGGTGTCTCCCTATTCTCTTATCATCTTGAAACATATCCATCCACAACTTCGCCCACATACCCTATCGACACACTCTAAGCTCACATACTACTGAGGGAAAGGCAAGCCATTTTGGAATAAACGAATGGGGAAAAAGTTTTACATTTGTATATTCTGTAAAGGAGGAATAGAAAGATATATTAGGAAAGTTGTACTGAGAAAAGGAAAAGGTTTTCACTCCATGTGAACATTTTCCTCTGCCTGAAAGGGAGGAAATTTATTTCTCTCAAGCTATGCCATTTTCATAAAAAGACAGGTATAAGGCTGCAATGTAGACCTGAAGAAACTAGTTGAATTGATGCTTTTCCACATTTAACTTAAAGATCCAACTTCCAATTTGAAATAAAAGTTTTCATTAATATCAATAAGTTTTGCTATTTTGTTGAAAATAAAGAAAAAAATAATCTATGTGACAGGTTCAAAAGTGTCCTGTTTGGGGAATTTTCAAATATATTTTATTGTGTGCTGTAGGTGATAAATATAACTCACAGAATAATAAATGGGCTTTTAATAAGAAAATGAGCTGAAACAGAAAAGATAATATATTCCATGCAAACACATGCACTCAAAATAAAACCAAATTGTAGACATGTTTTGTTTACACAGCAATTTAAATGTGAAAAAAATGAAGTATTCTGAATGTTAATGTCTTAAATTATCCTCTCCTCCAATCCACCATAGTCCCAACCTTGATCTTCTGACCAATCCGTCATTTCTGCTCTCAGGGAGTGGCGCTTGGTTCCTTCCCATTGATATACACTTGCCCATAGCCTTTATGCCAAGAATATTATGCTCCCTCAGGAAGGCAACTCTGATAATCCCTGGGAAATATTTCCAGAACCTATTGTCTATATCTACCATTTGGTACTTACCCCATAATTTCTTGTACTGTCACCTAAATTTTCAACACAGGTGTGTGTGTGTGTGTGTGTGTGTGTGTGTGTGTGTGTGTGTATGATCTTCATCATCTGCCACATGAGCTGCTGGAGAGCATAGGGTTTTTCTTACACTTGTCAATACCTTTTCTATCACTTATAAAAGTATCTTTCACAAGGTGGCATTCAACTGTATTTTTCGTAGATTTATCTACTATTTTGTAATCACCCTTTTCCTTAAAAAAACTTCTTTAAATTAAGCTTTTATATGAGTTTCCAAATGATGAAATATTTTACATTTTTCTATTTAATTGGAAAAAAGATACTTGTTTTTGCTACCCACTATTTCTTAAGAAAACTACTGTTGAAAAGAACTGGCAAGAATCATTTGCAATACAAACCAAAGTTTAAAATTTTCATTAGTTGGAATACAGAAAACAGTTTCTCCTAATTTCTAGACTGATAATGAGTTTTCTTGAGTTAATGTTAATACTTAAATTTTTTTGCCTATTCTCATTAGGTTAAAAAGAATGTCAATGTGCTGAAATTGCTTTGCATTCACACCTATAAGGCTAATAATCAAGTACTCACTGAATCTTTTTACACAAACCTAAAACTAAAATAAGGTAGAATTTCATGCCATTAAGAAGTCATATTACTTCCCCAGGAAACAATGAAAGTCTGACAGTCATATTAAGCAGACTCCACTGCAGTCAGGTTCCTGAGATACTGACTGCTCAGCATCATAAGACACTTAGCTCTAAGGCAAGCAATCACTCAGGTCAAAAAGGAACACAGAGTCCTTCACAAATGCGAACGAGACAGATGCAACTGTGTCTTGGACCTGTTCTCATCCGGCTTTTTAAACTTCAGATGACTAGCATTATGTTGTCGAAGGGGCTATGGTTTTGGGGTCAGAAGAGTTAAGTCTGAATCCAAACTGTATTGTTTACTGCTTATGTGACTCAGCGCAAGTCCTATGAACCAAGTCTCCGTTTCCTCATCAGTAAGACCCTACTTCACCCAGGGCTGTTCCAAGGGTTAAGTGAAGTCATGTATATAAATATTTGTGGGCTGTTACACATTTTACAAGTGTCAGCAATTTTTATAGAAATAGAAATCAATTTTACTTCAAGATAGCTTACAATGTCTGGAAACTGTGCCAGTAAAGGTAATTGCCAATTAATACTAAATAGCTGAATTTTCGCCTTCAATAATACATACAATTATCATGGTTAAATATTTCCCCAATCATATTTTACACATTTATAGACTATTTTCTAACATTTGCCTATGCATATTCCATTTTCAAAAATCAGTTACTTCATAACAAGGCAAATGTCTTTTTCATATAATTCTGGGTTAAGGCTAAGTGGCAATTCTATATGGTTCTTTAGGGGCATCTGAACATTTGAAACAACTTTCAAGGACAATGCCAAATTCCACCCAGGCCTTTTTCCTAATAATGAATGGAAATACTTACTCAGAGTTGATTCATAAAAGATTTACATCAACCTTTGGCACAACTCACAAATGGCATTTTCTGTAACTCAGCAGGCCTCAAAATCCTTTCTGGGTTTTGGGTCGTTTTTGCATTGTTGTTAATTATTAATAGTAATCTTTGGGTTCTAAACATAGAGTTATACACCCATAACCACACCAGGCTTTTGTGAGCTGTTATACTTTAAAATATACATTTCCCAAAATATTTCTGATTTTAATGATATACATATATGAATAACAATATGTATCTGAAGGAAGAACACTTGAGGAAATAAAAAAAATGTTTTTAAATTTGCTAAGGCTGAGGTAGAAAACAAGCTAGGGTATTTGGAAACACACAGAAAGATATGTATAGCCCAAGGGCAATGAGTGAGAAGGGAAATAGTAGGAAATCAAGTCAGAGAAGAACTTGTAAGATATGGTAAAGAGTTTTGAGAGAAGCTATAGAAAACAACATTATATGACTTGTTTTTAGAGATTACTCTGGTTGCTGTGTGGAAAATAAACTACAGAAGGGCAAGA